AGGAGACTAAGATTTGAGGATCACGGTTTGAAGCCAGCCTGGGCAAGAAAGTCAGTGAGACTCTTATCTCCAATAAACTACTCAGAAAAGGCCAGAAGTGTGCTGTGGCTCAAGTGGTAGAGCGCTAGCCTTGAGTATAAAGAGGTTCAGGGATAGTGCCCAGGTCCTGAGTTCAAGCCCCAGGACCAGCAAAAACAAAACAACAACAACAACAACAAAACACTTTTACCAATACTTAACTTTATACAAGGTAAGCAGTATACATATATACATATACATATTTTTTTTCATTTTGTAAAATAAGAAGTTGTGACTCAATTTGCTTTGAGTTCTGGATCCAGTAATTCAGAATCTACCATCTCCTTTCATCTCACTCTCAGATCCCCTTAGAGAACCTGGTTTCTTAGCATTGGTCAAAGACAGTAGTTTCCTTTTGATGTTTAATTGCAGAAGTGGGAGATATAAGCAAATGGCTTAATGAGTACTGAAGGAGGCCTGAAGAAGGAGAGCTTTCAGGGCTCTGATGGTGTACAGATTCTGGAGGCTGATAGAATTTGCAGTCAAGCTGGTAGCCAAAGTCATGGCCACAGTTCAGTCCTTTTCTTTTCTGCTTCTTCTCAGGAGCTTGAGAGGAAAGCTCGCAGGCAGGAACATTTTTGAATGGGGCTTTCCACATGCTTTTACATAATGTAACTGGTAAAGTATTTTATAAATGGTTTCCATATTCAATCATATAGACAATTAACTAAGCCCGATTCAGAAAGAATGATATTTAGACTTTAGCCTAAGTCTCTGACTGCTGAGAAATTCCAAGCCTATCTACCATAAAATGTAGATGTCCAATATTTAGCTATACTATTGGAGTCAAGGTGGTAGATCTAATGATCTAGAGTTTCTTTGTTGTTGGCTATTCATTCTTTTATTTATATCTTCATCAGATATTTATTGGAAACATATTTACTGTGCTTCAGGTGGTGTCACCTATACTGATGATACATACCACCACGAAGGAGTTAAATATGGTCCCCAAGTCTGTGACACTTATGTTCTAGAACAGAATATAGATGAGTGAGCAGAAAATCATCATGTAGTGCAATAGAATTCAACAAGTAGTGAAATCCTGAATTAGTCTTCTAAAGTGTCCTTATGTCTTGACTTCTTGGAGACAATTCTTGTGCCCTTTGTCACAAATGAGTGAGAAGAGAGAAGTCATTTTTCCCTGAATACAAGCAGTAGGAAGGAGGTAGCTATGTCATGTATGATATGTGCTTAGTTAGGAAACAAAACATTTCCCCCAGAAAATGGCTATCGCAGGTTGACTATCTGAAGAAAGTTGCAGAAGCCTAGCTTGTATCATTTTTATTTGCATTTTAGATGCTGGGTTCACCACTCCACGGAAGGGTGTTTCTGCTTGCCATGGTAAGTGGAGAGGTTTCTCTTAGAAGACATTTCCCTCTGTGTGGTATGGACAAGCTACTTGCTTGCGACAACCAGCTATCCATGCCACAGCTGAAGCCAAGCTTGGCACTAAGCCCCAGATGCAGTCACCTGAGAGTCAATCAGAGAAGCAGCTTGCATGTCTGCTGGGAATCAGGAACCATTATCTCATAGGCAGTAGACTGTCCTCGCATTGGTGAGACTGAGATGTCAAGATGAAGCAAAGCTGGCTACTCTGTGTTCCCAGAAGCACATATTTGTGTCCCTTGCACGGAGAGTGAACAGTCCAGATGATATATTTCTAAACTGAGACACTATTTTTAAGAGATGCTTAAAAACTAATGGCTAGGTGATTGATAATGACATTAACCTGACAGCAAAACAGAACCTATGGTCATCCTTATAGGAAATATGTCTTTTGTCTCCTGAGATGTATGGAGTTTTCCCAGGGGGTCTTCTACACAGTGCATCTAATGTATGTTTGCTTGTTAGCAGGGGAAGAGATCATACAATAAGACTGAGATAAGGATAATCCTGGTTCCTCAAATTGTATTATGTAAATCAAACTCATAGTTTGTCAGAAACTTTCTCCAGAAATGTAACTTATTATGACAGCGTATTTCTCCTTCTGTAAGTAAATTCTATATCAAACTTAGAAAAAGAAGGGGAGGGGGGGGCAGAAGGAGAGGAGGAAGAAAGCGAGGGAGAGACAGAGAAGATATATTTAGGATATATTTCTACTTGGCCTCCTCTTGTATTTTTAATTGTTTATTCTGTTATTTTATATGTTGAAAGAGGGATTGAAACAGGCACATAAGCCAGGCAGCAGCAGCACATTCTGTTTTACTAGCAACTCAGGAGGCTGAGATCTGAGCATCACAGTTCAAAGCCAGATGGGCAGGAAAGTCCCTGAGACTTGTATCTCCAATTAACCACCACAAAGCTGGGAGTGGAAGTATGACTCAAGTGGTAGATTGCCAGCTTTGCTCGGAAAAAGCTTAGGGATAATACCCTGACCTTGAATTCAGGCCCTAGTATCAGTACAAAAAGAAAAAGGAAAGAAACCACCAGAAAGGAAAAGAAAAGAAAGGTATGTAATTTTAACGATTGGAATTGAGTTTTGCCTGGTGTGGTGGCACATACCTATAATCCTACCCCTAGAAAAGCCAAGCGGAAGGATCTCAAGCCCGAAACTTGAGTTACCTAGTGAGCAACTGTCTCAGAAGAACAAAAGATAAGTTTTGACTAAGATAAATTTTCATAGGTTAGTATCATTTCTTTTAAGAGTCCCTGGGTATTGAAATAATCAACTTACTTTCCTCTTTCATTTTACAGGAAAAAAGGACGCACGTTGAAAGCAAGACAAAGCTCCCCAAAGGGAAGTAAGTCTGCTTCTCTGGCACTGTCACTCATGGTGGTGTTGTGTTTTCCAAACTGTCTCTGCCCTCTGCTCCTGGGCAGATTTATAAACAATACCTGTGCTTATGGCAGCAATATACCCAAATGCACAGCTCTTATCCCACAACCCTGTGAGCTCAGTGAGGCGGTGAGGTTGGCTGATGGATCGCCATAGTCCTCCGTTGGAACCTGCCTAGTCTGGAGGCTGAGGAATTAACTGGAACCAACAAATGTGAAAAGTGAAGTGTGAAATGTGAAAAGTGAAGTGAAAGACAAATGGACTGAAAAGCCAGCGAGGTCTTGAGAGCAAGGAGAGGTGCTGAGGGGTTTTACACGAGGGCAGGTAGGATCACATCTGCATTAAGAGATCACTAGGATTGCTGTGCAGAGAAATAGTAGCCGGAGTGGCAGGAGCCTTTGTGGAAAAACTACTTGGAAGATAGTACACGTTCCCTGAGACACATCTCTCCTTGAAGTTAAGAAGGGAAAAGAAATCAGGAGGAGGATGATGAAGGGCAAGCATCACAAGGAAGAGAGTAATGAATAAAGGGCAGGACTAAAGACAGGCCATTGCATTTCTAAAGAAGAGAAGGAAGAAATTTTGTCTTCACCTTCCTGGCTTTAAAGAGGAGGTTGTATCTCATTCATTCATACACTCAATCAATCTTTGTAATGAGTCTGAAAATTTTATTGTTAAACCTCAGAAAGGCCTTAAACTGAAAGGGACTCTCTTCTTGCAGTGATGTGCTCTTTTTGAAAATACAGACTTCCAAGACAGATTGCTACTGTAAGGCAAGGGGGTAAGCTTTTATGTCTTCAAAGACAGCACAATTATCCTCTGTACCCACAGGGGAATGGTTTCAAGAGTACCAGTGGATACCAAATCCATGGATGCTCAAGTTCCTTATATAAAAATAAGCAGTACTTACTTATATATAATCTACACAACCATCCTATATGCTTTATTTTTTAACCGTGATAGTTCCATACATACATTTAGTATGTTTTATTGTATTTATGTTTGTATTTGTATTATATACTACTTCTGGGGCTCCCCTTTTTGAAATCTTTCAATTTTTACATGAATTTTCTTATGACCAAGTACATACAATGTACTTGGATCCCATTCTCTCCATCATCTTCTGTTTTCTCATTTCCTTTGTAACTGGTGCCTTCTGCCATATGGTTCTACATATTATTTGTGTCCATTTTTAAAATCAACTTTCCATATATGAGAGAAAACATGCAGCATTTGTCCTTCAGAGTCAGTCTTATTTCACTTAATATTATAATCTCCAGGTCCATACATTTTCCTGCAAGTGACATGATTTCATTCTTTATGATTGAATAATGTTCCATTGTGTATGTGTGTATGTATGTATTTTCCTTATGTATTCATCTTCTGATGAGTATGTAATGTGGCAATAATAAATAGTGCCAAGATAAATGTGGGTGAAAAGATACTTCAATTATTACACAATCCATTTATTTAACAAAAAAAAACACCTACAATGACAACAGGGTTTATACCATGGGGGAAGAACATACAAAAGAAACAAAAAAAAAATCACATAGTACATTAAAAACAACAGCAACATAGAAAAAAACCTCTTGTGTCCCTATCTTGGGGTTCATTTCACTTAGCATTGTATATATGGTCATATGTACATAGCTTTTGACCTTTTCTGCTTGTTTGGTAAGATTATTGTGGACAGTGCCCTGTATCTTGTATGTACATTTTTCTAATTTGGAGAGAAGGGAAATAACAAAGTGCTAAAACAAGGATACAGGTCGACCCATTGTAACAATGAGACATACAAGACACTAAGTTAAAAACAAACTTTACAACTTGGTGGGGGGAGAGAGGAGTTGGTGAGGTGGTGAGGGAAGGGATGGTAGGGGAAACACAAAGGAGGGGTAACAATGCTCCATAGGAAATGCACGCATTGCCTTACTCATGTAACTGTAACCCCTCTGTACAGTGTCTTTACAATAAAATATATTTTTTAAAAAACACAGATAGATATGATATATAAATAAGTGATCTAACCCTCCCAATTGGAACCATTGTAATCCAGGAACAGTGAGTCCCAAGAAGCCCTCATCTCCATCAGAGAAAAACTTAGAACACACTTGATAGAATACACTAGGTGCCCAAACCCAAAGACCATTTTCTTGTCATGTAATAAGAGAAGCTCTCATTGGCCATAAAATTTAGGTAATTGTGAGAATCTGGAGAAATGTAAATCTACGTGCATTATGGGAGCCTGCATGGACACATCTGCCTTTTAACAGTCTTCAATGAAGGACACCTGCTTACTGATCGAGTGGGTGTGCCACTTTCAAAAAGCTAGCAGATATGTTCATTTGCCTCTCTGCTGCATGACCAGAGCAATTATCTTTTAGTAAATTAAAAACTTAGCCTGCTGTGTTGTCTCTGCCAGCAGCTTTGGAAGGAGCTCCTCTTCTAAGTCCCCTTGAGCTCCAGTCTCCACACTACTTGCTATTTCCTGTTGCCTGCAGCCCAAACCACGCCCTCCTTGTATCTTAAGTCTCTCCCAGACCCTGGTACTCCGCCTATATTGGCCTGTATGCCCCTGGAGCACAGGACTGTTTCTGATGCTTTTTTTCTCCCCAGTGGCTTATGTGGAATAAGAATGTGTTGTACTACGGGTAAAGAAAGAGAAGGGAGAAGGGGGAACGATTTCCTACTCGGTAATTCACCAAGTTGTGACTGAGGGAGTTCTGTTTCTTCTTGAGATGACCTTGTAACTCCCCAACAAACTATTGCAGATCTGAAAATGCTCAAAGGGTTTCCTGTTTTTTTTTCTTGACTTTCTTGTGCTTTAGACTCCAGCCCCCACCCTTGTCAAATCTTTCCCTGACTTGACATTCATTCACTGTATTTTCTTTCTACAGATGTAAGAGTGACTCCTGTTCCCATCCAGGTAATATGACCCTTTTTGACTCTAATATGGAAGAAAGGCCTTCCATACCAGGACAGTGGGTGAATTCAAGACCAGTACACGGGCCTGGTAGCAGATGCAGAAGCACCAAAAAGTGAACATTAGATCTATTTAGGATAGACAACATGCTGTGTGCTTTCATTTCATGGGGGAACTAAGACATCAGGAGATGTACCCCCAAGCTAGACATAGAGCCAAAATTCAAATTCCAGTCTTACCATATACCCAAGTTTTTTCCCATGCTCCTTCCTGCATTTGCTTTTATGTCTTGAGTCCATCATTGACCTTCCCTTGTTTTGTTTCCTTGTTTTGTTTGTGATAATAATCTCTTTAATGAGTACTTAAGTATCATAACCCAATTATATCTCTTTCATAAGAAAGAGTTGCCGCAGGACCTTGAGACACTGAGAAGCATCCTGAGTGGTCAGGGGTCACTCTGGAATGTGTGGCAGAGAAGACAGTCATAGGGATGTGTGCTCTGAGTAACATGGTAACATGAGAGTTCCAACTGCTTGCTCTGGAGCTTAGGGTAAAGGCACCCATTTAGGACACACATAGCTGGAAATGGCAAGGAAGTGGTGGTGTTAGACTTTCTCCAGGATCAGTCCCATGTCAAAGCTAAATGTGAAGAACATGGCAAGAGGCCACCTCTTAATGATGCATTTCCTTTGACCCACAGGGCAATGCTAACCAGACCCCAACAGAGGAGCTGTGCTACGTCCTCATCAACCATAGTGCCTTCAGGAAGCAGCCATCGGGAAACTCTGCTGAGGTGTACTATGAGAACATTTCCTACAAAGCTGAGAGGCCCTGGGAATCTTTGGGAGGGACAGAGACTGAATATTCACTTGTCCATGTGCCTTCCACCCCTAGGTACCCACCTCACCCAGAAGGTGACTATGACCTTCTCATGCCTAGCAAAAACTCTCACTCTTTACAATAGCCAAGGTGCCATGCACAGCCCCTTATGAGATTCAACTGCCCCATTTTCCAATGAAATGATTGGACTAGAGTTTGTTAGGCTGGGGGATTTTGGTGAGTACAGGCATGAGGCACAAAGCTCTCCATCTTGCTTCTTCTACAAGTCTCTGTAGAGAAAAAGCTGTCATCCACAGGTCCATTTACATTCTGTTCGATGTCCAACATCTGCAAGTCAACCACTATATTTGAGAAAGGAGGTGACATCTTTGAAGTGGTATGAAAGTACTTTGTAATGGGAAAGGCTCCCCCATCTTTACAGCTGTGTCCACCTCAAAAGGCTGTTTTTATGCCTAGGCTCTTATAAAATAATCCCATGACTTCTACTCTGAAGTTGGAGGAAGCATATGTATATAATTTAAGTGTCCCCAAAAGGGGGACACTTCTAACAGTGACCTTCTAGCTCTGCTCTATTCCCCACAGGGTTCCTTGACTCATTAGTCCCTGTGGTTGATTATGTGAGGTGAATCAAGGGATTACAATTTTTATATGATTTTCTACTGTGAGGCAAAGAATGAAAATCCTGGCCCTATGAATACTAAGCTAATGTTCTGACACTAAATTACAACCCCTACTCCTCTCACAAATCTTTAATAAGACAGTCGTGGGCTGAGAAGGTGGCTCAGTGGTAGAGTACTTGCCTTGAATGCATGAGGTCCTGGGTTCCATTCCTTAGCACCACATAAGCAGAAAAAGCCAGAAGGGGCGCTGTAGCTCAAGTGGTAGAGTGCTAGCCTTGAGCTGAAGAGCTGAGGGACAGTGCCTAAGCCTACATTCAGGCCCCACAACGGACAAAGGAAAAAAAAAAAAAAGACAATCGTAATACCAGAGAATGATGTAGCAGAAAGACTTTCAGAGATCTTTTAATTCTGGTGTGTGTGCTTTTTCTTTTTTTTGAGTGGGGGGTTCTCAAAGAGAATAATTTGCTCAATGATACAATACAGTTTGTGGCAGAACTTTATCTAGAGCTTTTCTTTTTTTATTGTAAAGGTGATGTACAGAGGGGTTAACATTACATAAGTAAGGAAATGAATATACTTCTTTTTTTTGGGGGGGGGTCCAGTCATGGGGCCTGAACTCTGGGTCTGGGCGGTGTCCCTCAGCTCTTCAGCTCAAGGCGAGCGCTCTACCACTTGAGCCACAGCACCACTTCCTGCTTTTTTTTTCCTTTTTGCTTATGTGGTGCTGAGGAATCGAACCCAGGGCCTCAGGCATGCAAGGCAAGCGCTCTACCACTGAGCCACCTTCCCAGCCCAGGAATATACTTCTTGTGGAACACTGTTACCACTCCTCGTTTTCTCCTGCTATCCCCACTCCCACTCTTCTCCCCTCAAGTTGTAAAGTTCACTTCCAACAGTGTCTTGTGAGTATCACCATTGCATCGGTTCACCCTTGTGCAATTCAGTGCCAATTATATACACTAGAAGAGCCTCTAGTGTACAGATGTCTCAAGATTATGCTGTATCACATACAAATAAAATATCTACATGAGGAAAATACCACCTGCACACTCCTTCTTTAATAAATATTCTTGGATATGTTGGTTTTGTGTGTGCCAGTCCTGGGGTTTAACTCAAGACTCTGTCCTTGAGTGCTTTTCACTCAAAGCTAGTGCTCTACCACTTGGAACCACAGCTCTACTTCCAGGTTTTTGGTGGTTGATGAAGATAAGTCTCAGACTTTCCTGCCAGAGCTGGCTTTGAGCCACAATCCTCAGATCTTAGCCTCCTTAGTAGCTAACATTATAGGCATGAGGCACCAGTGCCCAGCCCTCTGTAAGTTCTGATCATTTGTTTTCCCTCATATTTTCTTTAAAATTTCTAGAATTATATTTATTCCTAAATCTCAGCAAAGTATGGTCCATCATCCATTTTGTAGATAAAGTATTATTATAATACAACCATACTTATTTGTTTACATAATATCTATGGTTGTTCAAATACAGTAGATTATTTCTGTATTTGTGTCCTCTACTTGCCATTTTTATTTAACTCACAGTCATTTTCCTAGTTCTAGAGGCATTAAAATAGCAAATAGATTGCTGAAACAAACATTAGATTCATTATATATTTGGTTACTATTTTGTTCTCAGAGCTAAATAACTTTACTATTTAAAATGCACGGAGGGTAGAGATAGTTTTGTGATAAATCATTTGCCTAAAATACATAAAATTATATATAAATATACATATGTATACATATATAGATATACAGAGAGAGACAGAGAGAGAGAGCACATGCCCAATGAGGACAAATCCAGTGGTTTGAAGTTGACAGAGTCAACCAGGTTTTGTTGATTCTTCGACCAGTTGATGGTCAGTAAGAGCTGACCACGTTTCATTATCTTGATATTTACTAGTTTCCTATTTATAGCAGATTTTTTTAAACAGGAAATCTTTAGCCAGAATTTACTCTGGTTCAAAGGGAGGTGTTTTGGGTGGCAGGGAATATTGTTTAAGACATATCATGGCCTATGAAGAATAGTATTGGACTCAAGATAATTATCAGTGATTCAAATTCTCTTTCTCCTCTGCATCCTTGAGTTAATTTCCACAAGCTTTGTTTTCCATCCATGAGAGAATAATCTTATACATGTAAATCCTCTGTCATAGACCCTGAATATAAATGAGCAAATCAAAGAGTAAAGAGAAACAAAAATATTTTATAATGTATGGAGACAAACATGCTGACATGTTTGATGATCCAGGGCTACTTAGCAACCCCTCAGCAAGGCAGAAACACCAAACCAGTGGGTTTATCCTGAAATTTTTCACATGGATGCTAAACCTCTATAGAAGTTAGTTTTGGTGAAACCTTTCCAGTACAATATGATAAGCTAGATTTATTTGAGTCTTATCTTGTGAAAACTACCTGCCCCAGATGGAATGTACTTCTTTTCAGGATCATATTAAGTACAAATAGTTAGCCAAGATCAAATTAAGTATAAATTCTTGGCCAAAAAATCATCTTATACTGAAATTAGGAGGATTATAAAAGGGTATTATTATTTTTTAACAGAAGAGATAGTTGAGAGGGCTTCAAAATACCTGCTCTGATAGGTACATAATTTGTTAGTCAAAAATAACAATAATTTAAAAGAAAAATGAAAAAATCTATATAGCATATACCATATAGATTTCTGTAAGTTTTTTTTTAATAGGTGGATGACTCTCTCTTAAGATTATGGGGAAGTCTTCTGCTCTTTTAAAAAATGTTATGTAGGTCTTTAGTTTGTACCTCTTCATCTATTCCCATGATTCAGGGGTTGGGTCTTTTGATAGCATCTCAGGTCTCAAGCTGCATTCAATTTTCTTTAGTATTTTCCCTGTGTCTGACTAATCTACTTCTGACCTATCTTCAATCCTTGATGTTTTATTCCACTCTATTAGCAAGTATTTGAACTAAGCTTTTATTTGCTTACTGAGTTTTTCGTTACTCTGCAGATACTTGTTGAAATCATATGATACTCTAGGTTTTAGACTCATTATTAAGATCCGTGGTTCTTAAAAACCCATCTCCTGTAACAAAATAGTTTATATGTAAGTGTATTTTTTTCCCAAATTCCTCAAAATGCTTCTATCACACAGATTAATTCTTTCCATACCAATCGTGCCCAAAATTCCAACCCTGGAAAGTTCTGGAAAGTTCTACAGCTTTCAAGTGGTCAAAACCAAAGGCAAGGTATTTCTATCTCGGTGCTTTCCAAAGGAGAAGCAAAGAATAAAGCCATATTCCACTCTCTAGAACTGAACAACCTCATCCTTCCAGCCCTGACCCTGCTCCTGACAGAGAGGAACTTACTTGAGGAAGAAGGAATGGCTAGCCTTTTCTTGCTTGCCCTGAAACATATTGATGGACCCTGACCAGACTGGCTTACCCTGCCCTTTTTAACTCACTCAGAAGATGAAGCTGCCTTTAGGGATGAAAAGATCTCTTCTAAGACTATGTCCCACAAGAAACTGCTTGCCCAAAGTATCCTGGAATGTGAACACCTAACAGGCAAGTGTGACTGTAAAAAAATTTTTTAATCATTTACTGTACATGTTTTACATATTAAAACATGTACACAAAAAGATTCTTCATTAAAACATCATTATTTTAAAAATGTACAGATACAATAAGGTTCACATTTGACATGTAAAAAAATAAAGAGGAAGAAGAGAAATTCACTAGTTTCATTTCTTTAAGGAACTATCCTTATAAAGAGACAATGAGTTAAAACATAAGCATCTTCTAATTAAATACAAAAGCAATTTTACATTGAACCTGATCTACATCACAAGGAGCTCAAGTCAAATCTGTACTCTGATGTATTAATACATATCTGCTTCTCACACTAACTTCCATGTACAGCTAACTTAACTGAGCTATGAGGGGGTTAGGAAATCTCTCATTATATGACCATAAGATCCTGGAAATTTTATAGCAAGGCTATAACAAAGTGAATATTCTGCTCTCTCATGGCCCACAATTCTATATTCATAGATGACTGATACAGTCATTGACACCCTGTCAATGATGGGTACAAAAAATTTATTTCAAAAAGACAGGAGTCTTCCTATTTTACAACCATCTTCAGTAAGTCACAGCCAAGAAGTGTCCTGAAGACATTGAGACCTGCAGGTAGGCTGGTGACACTAGAAAGCCACAGCCAAAGAGACTTATGGGTAGCTGAGGTTAACTAGTCTTGATTCTCTGATGGAAGTTTTATAAACATGTACCTGGAATTACAATTCAAAATGATGGCAGGTTTAGAACTCACAGGGATCCATGTTCCAAAAGAGTTCAGGAGTCCTGATAATAATGAAGAGATGCAAAATAATTAAGAAATATCTATCTTATGTATATATATATATATATATATGTTTATACATTAAAAAAATACATAGTGACAGCCTAAGACTGGTTGCTATGATACCCAGGTACAGGATGTGGAAGAAGATACAGCTACATTGTATATATTGTACAAAGGGACTTCCTTTTCCTCATAGCATGGCTTAGAGATGAATCAAAGATACTAGTGGGAGGAGAGAAGAATGATTTCAGCAAACAATGGACTCAGTTCTCCTTCATGTGGACACTTGCTTCTCTCTACCCCACCAGCACACACCAACAGGATCACATCTAAAGCAAGGCAGTGTGTCACCTTTTATCCACCTGTGCATAGAGATGGCCAGCACTTCACACTGTGGAGCCTGCCTCCACCCATCCCTCTCACACCATCTGTCTTCTTGATCTTGTCAAAACTGGACCCAGCTGGAGCAGCACTAGAGCCACTCTGTGGATATGGAGTCACACTTCCTCTCTGTGCAGAATTAGGAGGAAAGACAGTCTCCACCTTGGGGTCACTGCCAGGTACTTCTATGTTAATCCACAGCATCTTCTGCGCAAAGCAAAATGAGTTCTCTTCATTCCAAATCTCAGTGGAGCACTGATTTCTAAACTAGATCAACCCAGATAATTTCATTCTGAAAGGAAAATGTGGATAAACAACAAAAAAATCATTAATTTTAAAAACTAAAATTACATAACATTTAAATTTTTATCTGGGTTCACCAAGTTTGAACAGAAAGTCTTAGATCAATAGCAATGCTTGTTCTGAACAGAGGAAGTTTATTCTAATCAATGTACATGCACACATATGGACACACACATACACTGCACACCCTTCAAAGGGTAAATAACATTTATCTCTTGCCTATTTGCTTTGTTATGATAATAAATATCATGATAAATAACATTTAATGTGGGCTTTTAGAGACTGAGTACACTCTAACATTTAATCCTGTTCTGTAATCTAACCATAACAATACTTCAAAAGCCTTAGTGTTTTAAACTGTGTGCTAGAGAAGTTCTGACAAAGGAAATGGCGTGAGGTGCCTGACTAAAATGGAGATGTGGTAGAAGGCCTAACAGACACTCACAAGGAAAGGCCCCTGCTTAATAACAGAGTTCTCAAACTTCATACTGTAGTTCTTCCACACTTTTCTCCACTATTCTGGCTACATGTCCCCAGAACACAGAGCAAAATAACATGGACTGTGTCGCTGAGGACACAGGTGAATGATTCAACACAGTACAAACCACCAGTTGCCAAATCAAAACAGCTATACCCAGTGTGTCCATTTGTCTGTTATCCCAGCTCTGACTTCTTTGCTTTCTCTACTTACCGTACAGGAGGAGAGATTCCGGACCAAGCCCCAGACTCTCACAGCCTGGAACCTTCTGATCATGGAAATCCTGTAGCACAATGCCCAGTACTAACTCCTCACTCATCATATATCTCATAAAACTGTGATCTTCCTCTGGAATCATAAATCGCAGGTGATAGGTTACTGTGGCATTCTCACCACTGAAAGCCAAACCAAATAGAAATGTTTCAAAAAGTTTTAACAAAAAAGCAAACAAGAAAACAGAATTACACTAAAACTCAGGAAATCATTTCTAGCAATAAAATAACACCTGTTTCATCCCAAATCTTCCAGGAAACCACAGGCTCACATGCAACTTCTGCCTCCTTATTCCTTAGGAGTTCACTGAGACCATCAAAGAGAGAGGTCCAGCCCTGCTACTTCCCAAGAAGGTGGAAGGGTGGAAGGTGGTTGTGTTGTTCATCCTGTTCCCAGCCTCTCATCCTCTAAGGCAAGCCAGGAAGTTGTCTTTTCTCCTCACATATTCCCATGCTCCATACTCTCATTGCTGTCCCCAGATGTACGTGGAAGATGCACAGTTTAACTAGTTTGGGGTTTACTCTGGAAATGTTTATGGAAAGACTCAAAGCTACCTACCAAGAGCTTCCAAAGTCCCAGTGATGATCCTGTGCACCACTGGCAAATCAGACCTCCTACAACTATTTCCAAAATGAGAAACCATTTCCATTCTGGAGACCAACCCACCCCAAGGTAGATGGACAAGATGTTTGGCTCTCATTGTTGGGGCTGAAGGAAATTCTAAACCCTTTCATCTTCTTAGAGCAAGTTTTCCCCACCTCCCATTTTCAGAGTAGAAGTAACCATAGCCCTGTCCTTAGTAATTAGTACCTTAAACTGCTCTATAAATGCTACCTCATCTGCATCTTGGCTTTTTGGTTATTTTTTTCCACAATTATCCTATTGCTTTCGTCCAGTGGACTCAGACTAAGAACCACTAATAAAATAATTAACAAGAAGTGACATCTGAGGGTATTCCCCAAGGGCATATTTCGTAATGATTCCAGTCCCAACATCAATCAAGCCACTGCCCTGCTCAAGACAGTCAATGAGCTCCATCTTGTGGCCAGAGGTCACATCAGCCAACAATCTTAAGTTTCATAACCAGCTGACAATTCCATTTGAAAAACCCCACTAAAGACAACATCCTGTTGAAAAAATGAATAAGAGAGCTTGGGCTCACAGTTTCAAGAATGCTACCAAAGTCATTCTGAAAAAAAAATACACTTCCAAACTCCAATCCAGTTACCACAGTTTTCAGGTATAACCATTATCCTCTGGATGCTGCTCTTTAATTATTACTAATGATAGGCAACATGTGGACAGACAATCAGCCTTCATTTTCACTGGGAAGCATTTAGGCTAATTCATGAAAAGGATCGAGCATATTAAAAATTAAGAGGAAATTTTCTAAAGAAAATTGAACCAGACACAGTGACTCAAACCTATAATCCTAGCTACAGAAAAGGTACAGATTGCAGAGGGGGAAGATCAAGGTTCAAGGCCAGCCCAAGAAGAAAAGTTTGTGATCTGGAGTCAAACATGGATTGAATTTGTGGAGTGGGAGGGAAGAGAGGGGGGAAAACAAAGGAGGAGGTAACAATGCTTGATAGGAAATGCACTCATTACCTTGCTCATGTATCTGTAACCTCTTTGTACAGTATTTTCACAATAATAAAACATATTTAAAAAAAGAAAAGTTTGTGATTCCAACCATGCACAGTGGCATGCAGCTGTCATCTCCAGAGACAAGGGGGAACACATGTAGGAGGATCACAGTCCAGGCTAGGTGGTGCAGAAAGCAAGACCCTACCTTAAAAATAACTAATGCAAAGGGCTGAAGCCCGGCTCAAGTGGTAGAGTTCCTGCTTAGCCAACACAAGACCCTGCGTTCAATCCCTTAGCACAGGCAAAAAAAAGTGTGTGTATTATATACACATGTATATAATATACAACATATGTATATAGTGTATATGTGTGTCTATATATAATATACAAATATGTGCAGGTACACATATATAAATATATACATATATGGACATCTGTGTGTATACATGTATGTATGCAGAAAAATGGTTAATTTTGTAGAAGAGAAGGCTAGTTGGGATGCAGGAGAAAGAAGGCAGAACATAGTTATCCTATGTGTCTTTATATTTTCAATAATATTCAAAGAGAATAAATATACTCTTGAATTACTTGTTCTCCTTAAAGGCAAATTGAAGCACATGAATTGTCACTTCGATCATATCACTATCTGACATCTATTTCTACTTTTGCCTTTATTTTATTTGGGCACCTGCTGTTAAGCAGGAATTGTTGGTGTGGGACCTGCTTCTGCTCTCTCCACTGTACCTGAGTTGAATCTTACAATCTGGACTTCTCTAATCTGGTTTTCTCCCTTCTTTTTTTAAAGTATGAACTCTATGTTTTATTAAACATAGATTTTTTTCTGCAGAGCATATTTGCTTTCTTTTTTATTATTATCTTAAAGTAATTGTACAGAGGGGTTGTTATTCAACAAAGTTTATGAAAACTGCATCTGGATCAATGGTACCCCTTTCAACATCCTCCCCATCCCTCCCAATCCAACCCTTCCCTCAATTTCCTTAATTGTGTAGGATATGCATTGAATTTTTTTTGGGGGGGGGTCCGGTCATGGGGCCTGAACTCTGGGCCTGGGCACTGTCCCTTACCTCTTCAGCTCAAGGCTAGTGCTCTACCACAGTGCCACTTTTTGCCTATGTGGTGCTAAGGAATCGAACCCAGGGCCTCAGGCATGCAAGGCAAGCGCTCTACCATTGAGCCACCTTCCCAGCCCATATGCATTGAATTTTATGACTGCATTCTCCACACTCTCTCTCTATTACCTTTCCCTTTCCCTCTCCTCTCAATCCCACTCTCCCTCTTTCGAGTACCTGCCTTCTGGTGTTTATTTTGTTGGACTGTGAGTTAGCCTTTCTAGATAATTACACTTTTGAGTTCTCCCCTGAATCTACTATAATTCGGGTAATACACTTATGTACACTTGGATTCCACCCTGAGGCAATTATTTGTATTTTTATAAATTAATTCTAGGTTCCACATATGAGAGAAAATATGTATCCTTCATCTCTCTGGGTTTGATTCATTTCACTAAACATGGGTTTGTTTTTTATTTCCAAATCCTTCCATTTCTTTGCAAATGATGCAATACCATTCCTTCTAATGGATGAGTATAATTCCACTGTGTATATATACCACATTTTCTTGATTCATTTGTCCATTGAGGGACATCTGGGCTGATTCCATACTTTTGCTATGTTGAAAAGTACTACAGTGGTCTTTTCTTTTTGGTAAAAGAAGAAAGTTGAGCAAGGTGATTCCCAAAGGCCATCCCAGGATTGATGTTGCGTGATTCTATAGTTGGTCCCTTCCTGCTTTGAGGCTCAGGGGAGTACTCATGCATAAATGGTGGGGGGCAGATAGATTGGTGGGTATAGGTGGTGTTCTTTCCAGAGAAGAGCAAAATGTAATGCTCTACACTCTTACCTGAAGTCTGCTATTTCAGCCAAGATGAAATATCGACTCAGAGATGGTGATTTACTGTACACCTCTGTGAGCTAAACAGGAAGAAAATAACCATGTTACTTATGACCATCATACATATCACCTGGCAAAGTAAAACTACTTTGGAACAAGAAAGATCTCTCTCTTGCTAGGAGTTTACCTTTCTAAGGCTCTGGATGGTATAAGTGAGCCTACAACAAACCAAAGCTCAAGTTCTACTGATTATAAAGAACCTCATTAATAAGGTCCAAGTGACTGGCTGGGAGTTCTGAATTTATCTTATGAGTTGTACAGACACTTCATGACCTTGGTTCTGAGCATGGACAGTGATCGGCAGCTGGAACCCACACTGGCCTCATAGGGAAAGGAGGGAAAAAAGCATGAAAGAGGCTGTGAGAATGGGACATAAGGACAGACCACTGAGCAGAAGGCAATCATGGCCATGGAGTCTTTCTCCCTTCTATTAGAGCTTCATTGGAAACAAAAGCAGCCATGTTGGGCCACAGATGCTGCCCTGTCCTTGCCAAAGGGATAGAGCAGGGGCTGCAAAGATATAGAGACTTTGTTTTATGCATGAAATATTGCACTCATCATACAAATAGAAGAATATGTTAGGAGCATGCCTTTACATTTTACTATACCGGCAGATGCTTTGTAATTTAGGGTATAGTGATTTCCCAAAAAGCCTATTGTAAGCTGAAAAATCTCAAAAACTGAAAATACATTTAATACACATACCCAACACTGTAGCTTAGTCCAGCTTAGATCACGCATGCTCAGAGCATTTATATTAGCCCAAAGTAGGGAAGAGTCACCTAACACAGCCTATGTTAGAGTAAAGTGTTGAATGTGTCATGTCATCTATTGAATACTTTCTGGAAGTAAAAACAGAATGGCTGCATGCATGTACTATCACACCACCATAAAGACTGAAAAATCACAAACTGAGAGTGGAGGACTGCCTTTGTTGATTTTTTTTTTTGGGGGGGGTCCGGTCAGGGGCCTGAACTCTGGGACTGGGCGCTGTCCCTCAGCTCTTCAGCTCAAGGCTAGCGCTCTACCACTTGAGCCACAGTGCCACTTCCAGCTTTTTCCTTTTTTGCTTATGTGGTGCTGAGGAATCGAACCCAGGGCCTCAGGCATGCGCTCTACCATTGAGCCACCTTCCCTGCCCCATCCTTTGTTAATTTTTTACTTTATTTTAGGAAACAAATTAAGTGGCTCCAACACATTATTTGATTTTTTTCTCTCTCTGTCCATCAACTAGTAGTAACTCACCCTTTCTTAGCATCTATTTGTAAATTACTGCTTCTTTACGTAGACATAACAATATATTATTTTCCTTTTTGTTTATAGTAAGGTAAAAGGACTTTCTTCTAAGACTTTGTTATTGTTGTTGAGACAAGGTCCGACTGTGTTGCCAAGGCAGGTCTCAAACTCAAGTGATCCTCCTACCTCAGTCCCTTTAGCAGATGGGACTAAAAGCATAGGCCACTGTGCCCACCATGAGATTTTCTTCTCCTTCTTTGCTCAGATTCATTTTTAAGATGCATCTCAATGGAGAGAAGTCAGTCAAACTCCTGCACAGATTCCATGAAGCAATGATTGCAGCTCATTATACCCCTTCTGATGGCTCTCCGTCTGGCTTCCAAGTTTTCCTGAGTACAAACTTTGCTGAAGCAATCATCTTTGAATTCCCCTCTGCTCCTTTCATTGTCAGTGTAAGAGTTTCCTGGGAGCATACGTCAAGAAAAAGGATTGCTGGCTCCAAGGCGCGTACAGCAGCAGCTCAGCCAAGCCATGCCAATGCTCTTCATTGTCCTTTCCTCCCAGCAATGGAGACGTGTTCTAAACTAGCCACATCCAATTGCACTATGAAGATACAGTGCCATCACTTTATCCAATAGCAAGCATTGAAACATACCAACAGCATCAGTGCCCTATCAGAAGCTTGCTTTGTCTCTTTCCCAGACCCAAAGGGAATCAGCCATGCACTACCACTCATTTAGCAACTCAAGAGCTGACAACTCAGTCTCTCAAAGGTAAAGAAGATGGACTAATAGAAACTCCAGAACTGGGAAAGCTCAGAATGAACGGTAAGGGGGATGAAAGATGTGATAAAAAGATAAAAGCTGAGAAGGAAAGACACTATAAGGAGATGGCTGCACTTTTGCTTAGCAGCGCTAAACCCTTACATGAAGAAAGTAAGCAGGAGGTTTCGTCTTGCTTGTTACTGAGCAACTTGTTCTGGGAAGTAGTGGAAGGAAAGAAGGGAACAAGAAGGAGAAGGAGGAAGTTAAACTTGGACTGACCACCATGGGATACAGACTCGAGATAAGAGGAGAGAGGAGAAGGAGGAAGAACTGAAGGAAGAAAAGGAGAAGGAGGAAGAGAAAGAACAAGGTGAAGATGAAGAAGAAGAGGGAAGAGGGAGAGGAAGAAAGAGAAGGAGGAAGAAGAATATAGAAGAAAAAAGGAGGAGAAGAAGGAGAAGGAGGAGAAGAAAGAAGAAAAGGAAGAGAAGGAGAATGAGGAGGAGAAGAAAGAAGAAAATAAGGAGGAGAGGAAGAAGAAGAAGAGGACGAAGAGGAAGTCATTAATGAAATTCTAGGTCTGGTATGAACTACCCTGCCAACAGCCCTCATGCTCTGGCTTCAGCACATCAAGGCTCATTCTACTTCATTTCCCACCCCACAAATGATGTTGTTATCCATCTACCCAACCTCCTACCTGGAGCCTTGGAATACAGTCTCCCTTACCCCAACTCAACCCATCACTGAGTCCCGTTGAGTGAGCGTGCCTCTTACATCTCACTTAAATCCTCTGCTTTCCTCTCAACCTTGCCTTAACTCAAGCCTCCCTCGTCTTCATCTGATGGCTATAATACATTCTGTCTCTTCCTCAACTCCTTCCTACCATTACATAGAAAGGCTAAAACTAGAATCTAGTATATCAGTCTACTAATAAACATCTTTTAGCTACCAAAGAGAAGGAAAATGTGCATGACTTGACCCCTATTTTCCTCTTCAGCTTCACCAGTAAAAGTCCCACCACCAACATGCTCAGGTACAGCTCACAGCTTCGCAGAGCTCTGTGTGCCCCACGTTCTTTGACCTCGAGCATTCCAGCCTCACATTATAGAACTCATCCCAAATACCACCTCCTGCAAGAGGCCCCGCATGCATTCATCTCTGCCTCACACAATTAGACACCCCCTCCTCTGAGAATGTAAACACAGCAGGCGCATCAATAATAGCTTACACTTGTAATCCTAGCAACTCAGTTCGAAGCCTGACCAGGCAGAATGATCCATGAGACTCTTATCTCCAATTAACCAGCAAAAAGCTGGAAGTAGAAGTGGTGTAATATCAAGCTTTGAACAAAAAACCCAAGTGAGAGTTGGGCCTTGAGTTCAATCCATAGTACTGGCATCATTCATCATCATCATCCACACTACATTTCCTCACAATGGTTGAATCACTGAGGATACAAACCCTATGCTCTGGCATTTGGTGTGCTGCCTAGCATGTCATAGATTCTCAATGAACACTACAGGTTGGAACAGCATGAAAATACAAAGCACTGTCAGGAGGCAGACAGCTCGATGCCAAGGCTCTTTCCTTCTTACTCTATTTCTACTAAAGTCTAGGGAAAGAAATGAAGCTACTCTGCAAGTACATGCAATTAGTCTAGCAGAACTCAGAGTGTACTGCTAAGAACTCTGTAAATGGCTTGTAAGGCATACTTACCCTTTCAGTGAGCAGGTGAGGCAATCCTTCTTCAGTAACACACTCCTCCGGAATCTTTAGCATCATGAAGAAGGTTTTGTTTGATGATAATTCAAGTGTTTCATGTTCATCTTCATCTACATAAGTTACTAAAGAGTGGGAGTGAGAATAAAAATAAAAGTAAACACAGAGGAGAATTCATTTCTTTATCCCGCTGGCTTTGCTACTTAAGCCTAATGATGAGTACTCATCATTAACCCAGCAAGCAAGTATACACAGAAATGTGTTTTTCACTTCATAAAATGTAACAAAGAACTGCCTCCTCCATTATGATAATAAGAAAAGTTTGCTGGTTTTGTTCAAAGGGATCTCAGATACTATTGTATATAGACTGAAGAAAAATCCAGAAGGAAAGACAGGAAAGAATAAAATATTCCTTGTTAAACTGAACCTGTGCCTTAGCTATGTACACAGGTGTCACAGCAAATACTGGGAGACATCAAGGGTTGGTGTCTTGGGAAGTGATAGCCAGCACTGTCACAGAACCACCTTCCAGTTCTGTGTAATGGAAGAGCATGGGAAGAAAGTGGCTTCATCAATTAGAAAAGGGCCAAGACAGCATATGCCATGATGACTCCCTAGGAGACAGGGCATGGACATGAAGTCATCGGCTCTCCCCTAGGCCCTAGTGGAGTGGAATGTTGACTCACTGTTTGCAGAAAGGAAGCCAAACTGTACTCAGAGCCCGAGGGCCTGCAGAGATTACATTCGTGGGACCCTGGCTTCTGGGTTGCATGTGTTGGAATGACTATTCAGCTAACTGATTTTAAAGCAGTGAGTGTTGGAAAGAAACCACACTCAGCAGAAGCTGGCACTGGTGTGCTCATCCCCTCCCTGGGCTTCACGCCAGCCTCATAGGCTAGGGGGCTGCCTCTCTACTCTGAGAAAGGTGTGGGTGGGAGCAAGGGACCCGCGGCCTTTCCCCTCAAGTTCCATGATTCAAAACTAGCAAAATCAGACTCTTTCCACTGACTATGAAAAACTATCATGGAATAAGTTGAATGTTTGTAATGGCAAAAAAAAAAAGAACTATATTTATTCCCTGAGAATCTCTAGAAATAAAAGGTACTAGGAACAAGGAATATGCAGAGAAGAGTTAACTCAGAAAGCCTGAGAATGCCGGCCTTCCCTGAGGAGGGGGGGCCATTTTCTACTTCCTTTCCTGGAGTATGAAATTCGGCACATTAGGCAGAGGCTGCCTCTGTGACCCCCCCCCCACACACACACTGCAATGACAACCTGGGTGCTAGATATTACCACAACATTATCTCACATGTGTTGTTGCAGCTTATTGCTGTAAAAAAAAAAAATTGAGTCCTGTTCAACGCCACTGGGAAAGAACTCTATAAAGCTGGCACCTAGTTTCCTTTGGAAGTTGCTGTAATGAAACCATTGAGTTAATGTATCTTTTTACCCGGAAATATCTGAATCATCAGCTTAACTTCTGCTAAGTCTTGTGAGCTCTAACACCTCACTGAATCTAGGACTTTCAGGAACCTCAAGCATGGAGATTTATCCTTACATCCTTTCTTGTTGTATGTGATTACATGACTTTGTTTGCTAGTAAGACTTGGATTTTTGTAGAAGAAAAAAACTGTAAACTATAAAAAGCCTAACAACAAAATAAGCTCTGATAACCCTTTGTTATGTTTTGAATCTTAGTCATCCACCAAATGTTCACATATTAAGTCTTCTGCTCTGGCGGATGATGCTTTTGGCAGGTGGTGGAACCTTCAGGAAGCTGGGCCTCTTGAAAGCCAGCCAGAAGTAGGTACTCTAGCCTCCATGTCTGCTAACAGCTTCATCAGATTTCTCAGTCTCTAGAACTGTGAGAAATAAATTTCTTCTTTCTAAGCTACCGGATTTATGGTACTTTGTTATAACAGCCCAAGGAGAGTAAGATGAGATACAAAGGAATAATAGTTTCATACAGTTAATGATTGAGATGATCATAGTTATTTTTAGGTAGAGATTATAACAAAGAGTATCACTAAAAGAGGAAAATTATGCAATTATACATCCAGGAATTCTCTCCTAGAGGTTATAGATGCTGCCTTGATAGTCAATAAGCTTTCCAAGGGGAAACATGAAGAATGTAATAGAATTGAATCCATGTCTCATGCACCCACCATGAGGAGATAAAAAAGGAAAAATAACAACAAAAAAGATCTGAAGTCCAGGAGTTAAGTACAATGGAGCAAACAGAGAGGAAGAAAGAAAATGGGGGAAAGGTTGGAATTCATAATCAGCAATTGCTAGTACTCTAATGGGTTTGATAAACGCAAAATAGAAGCCAAGCATCCATGTTCCATCCTACAATCCTAGATACTCAGGTGACTGAGATCTGAGGATTGTGATTCAAAGCCAGCCTGTGCAGGAAAGTTTGTGAAATTCTCATCTCCAGTTCACCACCAACATGTCAAAAATGGAGCTGCGACTTAAGTGGTAGAGTGCCAACCTTAAGCACTAAAGCTCAGAGACAGTGGCCAGGCCTGAGTTCAAGTGGACTAGCACAAAACTAAAAACAACAACAAAAAGAACAATGTAAAAAAGAAATGGATACAAGAGGTTTAGGAGCAAGCAGGAGACATGATCCAAATATTGATTTCTTTTTAGAAGTTTTCTAGTGAAAGGAGTGAGAGAAAAACATCTAAAGGAAGTAGCAAAAAAAAAAAAAAGTCCTGCAGAAAGCTTCTTTGACGGCGAGATGATGCCAACCTCTTAAAACCTGAGAATCACCTACAGATGTTCAGAGATGGAGAGACACCTGAGTGTTGCACTGGAAGCTGGAAGAGATTCTGTTGAGAAAATAGGGAAGGACTTCAGTCTTAGAGAAAGGGAAACACTTCAGATATGTAAGAGAAAAATGCCCTAGTGAAATGGTGAAGATCCTCCAACGTGGTAGGTCTACAGAATCACCTGAAGAACTCAATGGGGTAAAGCTTGTTAAAGCAAGTCTGGTAGGATTTCCCCATGAGTCACCCTGCACCAGGAAGCATGGCCAAGTGAAAACTGTCAGTGTAAAGACTGATCTGAAAGGATGTAGTTCTTCTTCTCAACTGAAAGGGAAAAGAAATCCATTCAACACATTACCTAGAAAGTCACTACTTATACCTCAGTACCATGTCATCTATTTTCATGAGAACACTGTAATTTATTGAATGAGTCAGGCATGTATATATATATATATCATATCTTATTATATTTTGAAGTATCTACTGGTTTGTCACAACACTTTCTTTAGCAAGGTGTTTACCTAGAGTATCCCTACACCCAGGCACAGAGAACCCTTAAAGAAGCTTAAATTGGTCTCCAAAATATCCAAAAGACACACACATACACACACACATGCACACACACACACACACACTTCAGTGTCAAGCCAGGCATGGTGGCTGTAATTCCACCTGACTTTTTCAGTGATTTGTCAAAATGATCTCAATATAACCTCAAAACCATAGAGGTAAGCTATAGGATTGTTATGACTTAGATATGAAAAGCTACACATAGGCTCATGTTGTTGAAGGCTTGGTCCCCAGGAGATGACACTATTTGGGAGGTTCTGGAAACTTCAGAAGATGGAACCAAACAGAGGAAATAGGTCATAGGATGTAGGATCTTTGGGGTATCTTGTTCTAGGCCTCTTCCTGATTCTTCCATCTCTCATGAAGTGAACAGCTCCCTGCCCCCACAAACTCCCACCATCACGATGCTGTATCCAAGCACACCAGGCCAAGAGAATATGGACTGGACCTTCAGAAACTGCCAATCAAAATAAATCATCCTTCCTTTAAGTTGTGTGTGTCAGGAATTTTGCCACAGCAATACAAAATTAATTTTTTAAAAAACTACTTCAAAAATCTGATGTTAAATTATTTTTAAAATGCAAGAAAGTGATGAAAATACAACAAAATGTTTAATGTTAGATGAGTTATAGGTAACTGCACATGCATTGTTTTTAAATCCAAATCTGCTTAGTTGACATTTTTCATTGTACTATCTCTCTCCATGAAGGCCCAAACAACTGAAAACTGAGATGCCAAGTAAAAGTATTTTCCTGATTTAAAAAAAAAATCACCCTCTCTTACATAAATTCACAATCAAATTAAAAGTGCAATTGCACTGCAAATATTAAAATTTTGTTCCCTGCCAGGTGCAGATGACTCAGACCTATAATCCTAGATACTCAGGAGGCTGAGATCTGAGGATAATAATTCAAAGCCAGCCTAGGCAGGAAAGGCGGTGAGACTCTTATTTCCAGTTAACCACCAGGAAAGTAGAAGTGGCGCTGTGGCTCAAAGTGGTAGAGTGTTAGCCTTGAGAAAAAAAGAACCCAGGGATGGGGCTGGGAATGTGGCTTAGTGGTAGTGTGCTTGCCTAGCATGCATAAAGCCCTGGGTTCCATTCCTCAGTACCACATGCACAGAAAAAGCCAAAAGTGGCTCTGTGGCTCAAGTGGCAGAGTGCTAGCCTTGAGCAAAAGAAGCTCAGTGACAATGCCCAGGCCCTGAGTTCAAGTCCCAGGACCGGGGGAGGGAGGTAGAAAGGAACCCAGGGACAGCACCCAGGCCCTGGGTTCAATCCCCATGAACCCTCCCCCCCCAAAAAAAATTCATTCCCTTAATACTACTGTGAGACTTTCCATGGCTCAGGAAAAACAATCAAGAGCAATGGAGTTCACCTCTACAAACTGTTATTTGTGAGCTGAAAAAGTCAGATGATTTTTTGAGAATGGAAGACAGATCTAGGCTCTTGGGATTTCGACCCTGAATATTAAACTCCCTCGATCTGTTCTGTGAGATAAATCAGCTAGCTTTGAGGATTCATCCACTAGTTGGGATAGGACAAGAGTGCATGGTGAGTCAGCCTCAGTTTCAACAACTCCATGTAGGAGGTGATGTAAAGAGGGAGTGGCCATGATCATAACAATCCATTGCCTTCAGTGTGACAGAAGGAAAAGCATGTTTTATTAGCTCTGCCCAGCAGATCCTCCAACCCACTTAGAAACTAAATAAGCATGGCTCCTGCCTGAGAAACACATGGGCTGTCATACAAGGATTTAAGAAGTACCAAATCTTGAGACAGGAAATTAAGGAATAATAGGAGATTGAACGATCATTGTGGTCACTCAGATCTGTCCCTAGAGAGATCCTGGAGCTCTGAGTCTTTCTGTCACTTAGGGACCATATGCTACTGAGAGACTCAGTCCATTCCAATCCCCTCCCCACGGAAAGCAAGTTTCCTTCTTCACTATTCAGAGATAGAAACAATTGCCCACTGGAGGGTGCTGTGTTTATTAAGCATCATATTTTTTAAAGTTATTAGACTAAATTAATTATTTAAATGGTTTTAATGTGATATGCATATAATGTGCTTCAATCAAATGTAACCTATCTTACTCCTATATATTACTCTTCTTAATGCTTGTCTTCCTCCTTCTCCCTCTTTTTAACAGTTTCAGTGAGTTTTATTATTAATATATTTTAATCACCTCCACCCACCATCACTCTCTCTTTTTTATATTCTTTCCTCCCACTGGTCTCTCCCCTGGAAAGCCCCCCTTTAAAATGACATCATGTAATTATTATTTTAGATATAGATTCTACATTTGAAGATAATGTACCACAAACTCCTTCAAAAAGCTAAAAGTCACTTTTAAAGTAGGAAGCACCCTAAAGCAAGGCTACATCCTGCAGCCATTAAAAAATATTATATTCAGCCAGGTGCTGGTGGTTGCACCCCTGTAATCCTTGTTACTCAGGAGGCTGAGATCTGAGGATCTCTGTTCAAAGCCAGCCTGGCCATGAAAGTCTATGAAACTTATCTCCAATAAACTACTCAGAGAAAGCCAGAAGTGGCACTGTGGCTCCTGGTGGTCGAATGCTACCCTTCAGCAAAGGAGGCTCAGGCCCAGAGTTCAAGCCTCAGGACCAGAGCTCAAGCCTCCACACCAACTCCTTCCCATTACCCCCCCCAAAAAAAGGTATTCAAAAAGAATTGTGAATTGTTCCATGTAGCAATAAATAATGACTCGATATGACATTAAAGTCCTAAAGGTAGGCCATAGTCCATTTTTTTAAAAAAACTGATCATAAAGTATTTTAAATAATTTAAAGTTAATTAGTTAAAAAGTACTTTGGAACTAGGCACCAGTGGCTCATGCCTGTAATCCTAGCCACTTAGGAGGCTGAGATCTGAGGACTGAAGTTCAAAGCCAGTCTGGGCAAGAAAGTCCATGAAACTCTTATCTCCAATTAACCATACACACACACATACACACACACACACACACACACAAAACAACAACAACAAAACAAACAAACAAAAAACCCTAAAAGTAGAGCTGTATCAAGCCCCAGGACTGGCCAAAAAAACAAAACAACAAAAAAAAAAACACTTTGGACTTTTTAATGTAAGAAAAAGAATAGAGGGGGAAATGTTGATAAAACTATTAACTATATAAGTAGGTCTAATCAGTAATTGAATATGTGTTGTCTTTAAATTCAAAATGAATAGTAAAATGAAAGAATATGTGAAGTATATCCCTAGCGAGATTTATTTTTGTTTCATATACACTTACAATACAAATACAATTATTTCTAAAACTAAGTTCGAATAATGGCAGCTTATAGACACTCTACAGAATGTTTAAACTCAATATATTACTCATTATTTTATCATATACATTACATGAATGTCATAATCTTTTTCCTACTTACACTAGGATTTCAACCTAGGCAGGTGCTCTATTACTTGATCCAGGCCTCTAGACTGTTTTGCTCTGGTTATTATTGGGAAGGGATCTCATTTTCTGTCCAGGATTGCCTGGACAATAATAGTACAAATCAGGGATGACTGGTGCATAGCACCATGTGCATATTTTTCTGGTAAGATGAAATATCACCAACTGAACTGCCTGAACTGGCCTGGAACCTGGATCCTCCAGATCTCAGTCTTTGGCATGGCTGAGATGGCAGGCATGGACCACTACACACACATGAGACAGGCTCTCATAGACCTTTTCTCCAAGACTAGCCTAGAACTGTGATCCACCCAATCTCTACTTTTCAAGTAGCTAGGATTACAGGCAGGAGACACTGACACTGGGAGAGTTATTTTGACTGAAAAAAAAAAAAAAACAGAAGAAGAAAAGTTCAAATAAACAGGTACTAAAATGTAATCATTCAAGCCAGAAATAGTGGGGAACTCAGGAGGCTAAGGAAAGATGGTTGTGAGTTCAAGAAAGGCCAGACCTTACCAGGGTGCCAGTGGTTCATGCCTGTAATCCTAGCTACTCAGGAGGCTGAGATCTGAAGATCACCATTCAAAGCCAGACTGGGTAGGAAAGTCTGTGAGACTCTTATCTCCAATAAACCACTAGAAAACTGGAAGTGACTCAAGCAGTAGCCCACTTGCAACAACCACCAAAAACAAAAAAACAATTTCAAAATCCAATGATCAGACTACCGTCTCCATACTTCTAATTATAAGACAAATAATAAACAATATATAAAAACAAAACATATATATATATATGCACACATACACACACACATACACACACACAAACACACACACACACACACACACACACATGTCCTGTCCACACAACATAATCAAAGCCAGGCTTCAACTCATGGTATAAAGAGAGAAATAGCAATGAGTGCATTCTTCATTTTAGTGTAAGTTACAAGCATGAAACAAGTTCTTAGACAAAATGAAATTCTCTTACCTCCAGTGAGAAATAGGCCCAGAATGATCACTATAATGAAGCCTACAAAAATGGAGACGATAGCCATCCACAGTTTGCACCGTCCAACCAGGTTCTTGTTGCAGGCACTCCAGGGGCTCTTCTTGGTAGCCTAGAAAGCAAAGAAAGAGAGTGAGGCCGGCATGTTGTTACAACAAACATTCTTAAATAAACAATGAACTGTTGTCAACCACAGTTACCCTACTGTGGTGACTACAATTCTTCTACTTCTATGGAACCAAAGGATTTTACCTTCCACGTGTGAAACCTTGCAATATTCGTATTTTGTGTGTGCATGAAGAATAAATTTAAAGACATGTCAATCCCAGGAAACAGAGTCTTTAGTGTTGATTTATAATGGCACCGCCAAAAGACTAGCCTGAGGATTGGAATGTGGATGTCAGAGACAAGTAATGAAAACTAAGCTTGGAGAGTGGAGGGTTGGCACATACTCCAGAAGATTTATCTGTATAAGTCAATTTTCTCTCACTGTCACAAAATACCCAAGAAAATTAGCTGAAAGGAGGAAAGGTTTAGTTTGGTTTATGGTTGAAGAGCTTTGACTCCATGGCCTCCATTCTTATGGATCTGTCTGTGGTAAGACAGTACATCATGGCCGCTGCAGTGTGTTACAAAAAAGGCTGCCTTTCTCACGGTGGCCAAGGAAACAATGCAGAGGGAAAACAAAGCCAAGGGTTGTATTTCCTTCAGGGTAAACCCCTAGCAACCTACTCCTTACAGGTAGGCTCTACCTATGACTAATAATGCCAGGAAATTATGAAACCATCCATGAATCAACCCATTGGCAAGATCTGAGCCATCATAATCCAATCGCTGTACAAAAGCTCCAGTCTGAACACTACTGCAATGAAGATGAAACCCTCAATATGAGACTTTGGGGGGCATTGAGAGCCAAGCCACAGCAGTACAACTGTGGCCACAGAACGTTGGGCTTCATTTCATATGTGCTGGTGACCCACTGAGGGTTTCTCTTAATCAATAGAAAAATGATATGTATTTAAAAGCTAAAAGACTGCTGTAGCCAAAATTCTATGTAAAACAAGGACTAGAAAGAAAAACAAAGAGACAGACTCAGGGGATAGTAGAAAATAGTGATGTAGTAGAGGGTTATGAAAACAAACAAACAAACAAACAAAAAACTACTCACAGTTGTAAGGTCCACCCTGGGAAGGCAGAGCAGACTCATCCCTCTTCTTGGTTAAGTCTCTACCCAGTACCTGTGTCACCTAGGTAACTGACACACTTGGAGACAGTCACCCCCTCCCCACCTCCCTGAGGTCACATCTGCATCCAGTGTGGCCACACCTTCTTCCACCCCTGGCCTTGATAAGTCTGGCTTGGCTGTGGTTTGACCCCTTTTTTATTCCCGCTGCGGGGTCGTCCAACTGGACCAGAGGCAGCCTGCAAATAAACCTTTCCCTGCTGCTCTCTTTCCCCGGCTGCCAATTTAATTTACCTAACAACAGCCCTTTCAGGTCTGCACCAGCTCATTTCAAACAGGCAGCGAAGACAGTCGGGATTCATCCCTGTGGTGTTATTACTGCAAACTTTTCATACATTCCCTTTTGCGCACAGCCTCCCAGCATCACTGGATAGATGGCCCAGGTCATGGCATTCCAGGTCATGAGTGTGCCTGGCTGCTTTGAAAAGGCCAGGCAACTCTGTGACTCTTGAATGGCTCTAGGACTTCCCTACTTCCCACTAAGCCATTAGGTGATGCCTACAGGTAACCATGGCCAACACCCGGATTCTGATTCAAGTACCTCTTAAAGGTAGACTTCGGGCAAGCTGTGAACACCTGCAAGCTCTAGTGGTCTTGTCTTTAAATATAGATGTTTCTTAGAGGGATAATATACCACGAAACCCACCATAAATTGAAAACATTGTAGATGAAAATTCATTTGATGTAGCTACCCTGATGGCCATCGTTGCTTGGCAACACAGCATGATGTGGAATATCAGTCGTTCATGGGAGATGTGCCTAGCTGTGGCTGCCCACCATCACAATACACTACCCATGCTCTCCCGGCACTAGCGGAGGAAAAGATCAGAAGTCTAAACTCAAAGTGCCATTTCTACTGAATAGTGATGTCATTTTTCCCTCATCACTCCTGTTGCAAATTTACAAATGAAACCATGGAAACTTATGGCCCACTCTATATAAATGCTGAAATAGGCTCACATGTCTGTTGTAAAAGCTACAGATAATATATACAAAGCATCTGCTAAGCAAATACCCAGGGGGTTGGAAAGACAATTGCTTTTCCAGCATTCTTAGGAGAGCTCATGTATCCCACAAAGTAACAAGACTCCAGAAGGTTCACTGTTGAACTGACGCTTCCTTTCTTTTCTCTCATCTCTACTTCGGTGGAGACCATCGTTAGAAACACTAGCACTAACTACATTTCACACTGTCTCAGAGGGTTTTTCAGCGTTGGCACACATCAGAATCCCTTGGTGGAGGGGGGAGGGGATTTTACCAACAGGCATCTGCATCCAAGGAACTGGAACAAGGGGCAGTAAGAGCAATCCCTGGATTGTCCTTTTAAACCTCCCCAGTGAAGCAACTACCAGGGCGGAGACCCCTAATCTCAAGCCTCCTCACACTTTATGGCCCAATGCAGGCTTCCTCCATTCCCACCCACCCCATTGCTGTCGCCACTAACATTCCTGTCTGGTTTAACGTTCAAATACAAACAGAGACCAGCCTTATCTTCCAGGGTAAATTGAAACCACTTGGAGGAAGGAGTGTTCTTGAACTTCCCTGTTCTGCATCACACAGCCAGACTCTCTACAGGGAACAGGCCCTTGAAAAATGTATTGCTTCAAGGCAAAACTTTGAAAATGTCTAGAGAGGAGATGGAGTTCCTAAGGGTTGGGCTCTCAGGGCTAGCAGGTCACAGTGTACAGAGGGACAGAAGAAAACTGTCTCAAGTGATTTTCTGGGGCCTAGGAACAGAGCCACCACTCACCCACACTCAAGACTGTAGAACTATGCCAAAGCAAAGGGCTTACAAAGACCTGTGGAAAGCTGGGTGCTGGTGGCGATTAAGCCTGTAATCCTAGCTACTCAGGAGACTGAGATCTGAGGATTATAGTTCAAAGCCAGTCTGGGCAGGAAAGTCTGAGTAACTCTTAGCTCCAATTAACCATCATAAAACTTGAAGTGGTGTTGTGGCTCATAGTGATTGAGTGGTACCCCTGAACAAAAAGCAAAGGGACAGTGCTCAAGCCCCGAGTTCAAGAAAGACCTATGGAAAAAGAAGTCACAGTGCAAAGAATCAAACTTCAGGAGACAGAGGACCATCACCCCTCTTACTCAGCTCCTGAGACCAAATGTCTTCATGTTATTTTCAGTTTTTACATAAGAAGCAGCCAGACATAAGGACTAACACAAAGCATAAGCACAAGAACCAAGAATGAATGTCTTTGTTACAGGTACCTTCATTGGGGCTATCTCAGATATCAAATATTAGGACTCTGATGGTGTGAGTAGATCACTAAGTACTTCATGGTATCTTGAAGCAACTCAGGTCAGGATTCTACAATCCTCTGAAAGAAATCCCCTTCCTTTCCAGCCCACACTCATCTTCCTATAGCCTGGCAATTTCATGTCCTGTTCCTAGCTCTAAGAGAAAGACCACTGCCCTTGTCCCTCCCCCATGATTCATTTTCACAGATTTCAAGTCATTATAAAACATCCCACGTGCCATTCCCAACAAAACAACAGAGCATAACACTTCTTGGTTGTTTACATATATGAATCAACTGAAAAGACATCATTTGTTAGAAGAACCCCAGGAGATTCCTTGTACTCTGAGAGGGAAACAAAGTCCTGAAGCTATACAGTAGATGCAAGCTACCTGTGCTGTCTGAGTAACCCTTCAGAATCACATCACACAATCTTGCTGCCTCCTTCACTGGCTTCTTCCTCCTTTGCCCAAATTCTAGGTCATAAGAGGACACAGACAGGTTCTTCCACTCGGTTTCTTTCGGAGCTAATACTCAACTGTACCTTACCTCCTAGAACTGCATTAGATAGAGCCAGGATTTTCAGGGCTTTCTTCTGCACACTTCCCTATCAGATGATCACATCTCTTTTCAGGGAAAGGCCTAAATCCCAACACATGATCCTGCCACAGCGGCAGTCATCTCTATTGCTAGGATCTGAAAAGTTTACTATTGGCCCAATCAGAAGCAGGTTTATACAGATGAGGAAAATATTTCTTAGATCATAGGAAAATCTATATGTGTTGGTCTTCCTTGTGGCATTTAATCCATTTGACCCAAACACCAAAGAACCAAAGAACCAGTTGATTCTTATCCTGGACAACTAGTAGTGAAATTAGCAAGTAGGGGTTTTAGCTAGCTCATTCAATAACTCTTGCTTGCTTCCAGACTATCGATGTACTGGTTTGTTATTTTAATGATGCTCCCATCATTTACAGTGTCCTTGGGAATTCTAGGTGAAGGTTCCCATAATGGGCCATAAAAGAAACCAGTTTCTTGGGGTTGGAGGCATGGCTCAGTTGGTAGAGCATAGCTAATGAATGAAAGTCTCAGGTACTGAATTCTAGTCTTGGACCTTAAAAAAGAAAGAAAAAAGAGAAAGAAAGAAAGAGAGAGAAAGAGAGATAAAAGAGAGAGAGGAAGGAAGGTAGAAAGGAAGGAAGGAAGGAAGGAAAGAAAGAAAGAAAGAAAGAAAGAAAAGGGAGGAAGGAAGGAAGGAGGGAAAAAGAAGGAAGGATTGTTGAATCAAGAATGTACTTTGAAGGCATAACCAATAAAGAAAAAAAAGGTACTGGTTTTTCAAAAAAAAAAGGAAGGAAAGAAAGGAGAAAGAGAGAGAGAGAGAGAAGAAAACCAGTCTCCCTTTCTGCAGTCTCCCTTTCTGGTTTTTGAGCTAATAATATTGATGTATGTTTGATATAGGAACTGGGCAGGGAATTTGAACACCTGATGAATGAGAACCACAGTTTGGCAGTTGATAAGGAATTATATATGGGCTGCTGATACTAACAGAATGGCTTATAACATGTAGCAAGGTCTTACTGAGCCTTAGTCTCTGGAGACCCACAGAAAATAGTAGCCCCCAGTCTGACAATCTAACACCAATTCTCACACCAACCCTGACTTGTGGGAGGAATTAATGACAGACAGCCCAGTCTCTGAGAGCTAATGACACATAACCCAGTTTTCCAGACCAGTCATCCCCATCTTTGAAGACCCCAATAAAAGCTTGAGATCTTGGGACTTGCAGTCCAGGGTTCATTCTTTCATCTGCCCACCCTCCTGGAGGAAGACACCCTTCAGTTTTGCATTCATAAACTTGCCCCACCCAACCTTCATCTCAGCACAACAGAAACAATGTCTGGGCTCAGCTGCCCAGTGCTTCTCCTAGTAATGTCCTAATAAAGGTGTTGCTTCTTCTACTTGACTGTCTTGGTGAATTCTTTCATCAAATCACAATGCTAATGTCCACAACAATGCTTATAGTGACAGCAGGCCCAATGGAGTTTAGTGCCTTTCCCTCCTAATCCCTAAAGACAGATCAAAAAAGGAAGAAAATTTCTTTCAAATGACTTCATGTACTCCCTTAGTCCAGCACTTCCAAATAGGAAGATACCCACAATGGGGGTGACTTCTTCCCAGCAACTTTAGGACTGTCCCTTCCTCAGCATCTAGCCACTGTCTGGCATGCAATTGGTCCATCAGCCAACTGTGCCAGTCAACTCTTCATATCTCACTTAAACTATATAAATATAAGACTTATCTCAGGCTTAATGGTAGAGTGCTTGCCTCCCATGCACAAAGCCCTGATGTTTGATTCCTCAGTATCACATAAACAGAAAAGGCCAGATGTGCTCAAGTGGTAAAGTGCTAGCCTTGAGTAAAAGAAGCTCAGAGACAGTGCCCAGACCCTAAGTTCAAGTCCTAGGACTAGCAAAAAAAAAGACTTATCTCAAAAAATTAGTAATACAGGGCTGGGAAGGTGGCTCAGTGGTAGAGCGCTTGCCTTGCGTGCATAAGACCCTGGGTTCAATTCCTCAGCACCACATAAGCAAAAAGAAAAAAGCCAGAAGTGGTGCTGTGGCTCAAGTGGTAGAGCGCTAGCCTTGAGCTGAAGAGCTGAGGGACAGAGCCCAGGCCCAGAGTTCAGGCCCCACGACTAGACCCCCCTCCAAAAAAATTAGTAATACAGTTTACAATTTGTAATTTAGGCAACTATACTGATATATTCATAGTCAGATAAATAAGTAGATAATAGGTAATACACAGAATCAATGGAAAGAACATAGGCCTAAGTCCTCCGAACCTGAGTTCAAACATCAGAGACAGCAGCACTAGGAGAACCTGAGCATCCGGGGAGTTGTTCTGAGTCTCACTTTCTTCCCTCACTTTCTCTCCTCCATCTGCCAAATAAGAAAACTAACCGCTCAGATGCTATGATAATTGTGTTTGCTTATCCACATGTATTTCATGCACAGTAGGTACAAAACATGCTAAATGAAAACACATGGGCTTAAGCTACGTCTCAAAACTGGAAATCATATTCTTACAAAGTTTAAAAATCATCACACTAAATTCTCACGTTTCCAACTGGAAATATCTCAAAGCTTCCAGACTCAAAAGAAAATGTTTTTCAAGTATCTGAATCTTGGGTTTATGCTAGCCAACACTGAATGGACTTATGTTAATTATCAAGTTGCAATATACTTTAACTTAGTCTCTAGAACCAGAGAATGACTAGAACATTGGGTGAAGGGGGGGTTGTTTTGTTGGTTTGTTTTATTTGTATTCCTTCTCCTTTTAGAAGTTCCCCTGTTCACATATTTCTAGAATGTTTTCAAAGTTCTCATATAGCCCTTACCTTTGCTCCAATCTGCCAGTCTCCATAGCTTTCCATTTCGTGACCTACAAATCTCAATTACAAGGAAGTCTATACTATCTGTACACATCTGACTAACAAGAAAGTAATTAGTGCATGAAAGAATAATCTCTCTGAAGCAAGTGCTAAACAATTATAAAATCCCGATACCCAACAAGAATTGGGTGTGTTCTACTCCTCACATGTTTCCTATGCGCATCCCAGATCTCACAAAAACCTGCAATGGGCATGTTACACTGCCCCCCTATGAACAATCCTTCCACCAGCAAAGCTATCACTAGAACAACATTTTCTGCATTCAGTCTCAAGTCACAGAACCTTTGGGTTATGGTGGGTCTAATTAACCGTGAGGCAAGAATTCCCCATTGCCCGTGCCTAGATTACACCCTGAAGGCTCTATCCAGAAAGTTCACAGCTGAGGCTACTTGCACTGCTGACCAGCCATGTTTTCCAACTTCATTCTTCTGTGGTCATTGTGCTCATTCAAATACAAGGTGCTAACTTACTTTCCAGCTACCTAAAAGAGCTGACTTTACTGTGCAGTATTTCAAGGTATTGGTGTATGGCAAAAGCAATGCTTTCAACTTTTGAATTTCCTGCTTATCCCTAAGTTATTCTAAGTTGGGTAGCCAATGCAATGAAGGAGGTGTAAGAGAAATAGAAGGCTAAATCTATGTATTATGTTGAAAGCACCTAAACATCAAGCTAATCTCAGGGGTTAAACAGAAGGTGGATGGTTCACCATTCAAACCCTCTAATTGTTTTACAAGTGTTTGATGTGAGTGAATAATATTGTCTCTGCCAAAGCTGAATCAGAAACAGGTCAGCCTGAAAGTTGCCAGAAACTTCCTTTTCCAGATACAAAGGAGGCAAAAGCAAACGAGGCTAGTCTAGTCCTTTAGGATCAGAACTTAGAAATAATTTCCCATCAACCAAGCAGACAAGTTTATGTCCTCCCGATGGGCAGAGGCCAGCCCTAATCCTTCTGTTTTTTTCCATTTAGGCCCCTGTTCACTCCTATCAGTCTTCCTGCAGAACTTCAGGTCCAAGTTAGGAGAGTTTGGGGAATGGTGAGTCTGGATAGGAGTTAGGGATGGGGGTGGGAGAAGGGTTAGGGCGGGGAGGAATGACAGCCAGTAAATGTAATACATGTAAATAAATACAATAAATGTAAGTCGGAGGAAGAGAGAGAAAACAGAGAGGAGGAGGAGGAAAAGGAAGAGAGGAAGGGAAGGAAGGAAGCCAGAGAAGAGAATGAGAGTGTAAGAGTCTAACACTCTCTTCTAGAGAAAGAAAAAAGAAAACACCTAAATGTTATATAGCTTATAAATAAAAGTCAGCTCAGTGCTGGAGGTTCCAACGCCTCCCGGGTGGGTGTGGGGGACTTGGTGTGGGGGCCCAGGGCTGGGAGTAGCGCAGGGTGGGCTCGGGTCCGAGGGCATTCTTGGCAAAGTTGGAATTTCTTGGGAACATTCCTGCGCACCTCGCTCCGGGCTGGAAATCCGAACCCTGGCAGAGTGGAGCTCGGGCCCTCCGATCGCACCTACAGCACGCGCCGAAGAGACAGGTGGGAGGAGAGGGGCGGGGGGTGTGGGTCTCACCTGGTCTAGGCAGGGGTCCTGGGCAGAAGCAGGCAGGAGCTGGAGGGCTCCATTGAGTGGCGTCTGCTCCCCAGGCTGCTCCTCTAGCACCGTGAGTTCTATCTCTTCTGTAGGCGCCGGGGACGTGGCCTCTTCCATGGAGCGGATCAAGACTGAGAGGTTGGGGTGGGACCTACACACCTGAAAGGGCAGAGTCCAAGCTGCCTCCCAGGAGGGCAGCTCCAACCCCCGGAGGGGCGGGGCGAGGGGCGGGGCGGGCCGGTGATTGGGAGGCCCTCCCCGAGCTGCTGAGGGTAGAGGAAGGCTGGGAGAGCCCGGTGCTGGGCTCTGGAAGGAGAAGGGTGGTTTTTCTGGTTTGGTCAGTGCGCTACCTGCAATGCGTTTTCCTGTTGCTGCCGAAGCAAACCAGCTCAGTTTATGAGCCTGGCTGGGTGCAGGGCGGTGGCAAGGAAGGGATGGATGGGCGGGCAGAAGAAACTTTACCTTCTACTCCTAAGAGTGTCTCTGCTGCGACGTATCCCACCCCTAGCTGTCATTCATTCAATCAACAAGCAATGGTGACGCATCTATTGCATGCCAGACATGGTGCTAATTTCTAGCCTAGGAAGATGAATGATCCGCCGACAGATGCTTCCTCTCCCAAGTCCAGAGTCAGCTAGAGATGGCCTTGAGTGGTACTGGGGCCCACGGACTCTAGAGCCGGGCTTCTTGGGTTATTCTCCGTGCGTGAGGGGTCCTAGCCGTGGGACTTCTCTCTACGAGTCTTCACATGTCTTCACAAGGTCAATTCCAGGACTAAGGGAATGCGTGTTTCAAAAACTAACTCAGAACAGTGATATGCACCTAGCAAGAACTTGTAAATGTGAATGATTGTTATTTCTGTGTAAGGGGAGGAGTCATAGAAACCCTCCACCTGAGGAAAAGGCACACGCGTGTGCACACAGGCACGCTAGCTCCACACTGTCAGTGGTGCAGAACTTTGGCTTAGTGAGTTCTTGAATGATGTTTGCAAAGCAAGAACTCAGGTCCTAACCTGTTCAGAGCCATCATGAGTCCTACTTCTCACTCTTGTCCCAAGACACACACACACACACACACACACACACACACACACACACACACACACGAAGCCCAATTTTGGAAAGTCAGGAAATGTATAGTTGTCACTTTGAGGCAGGCTAGCCTACAGAAAATGAGGCAGGGAGTCAAAGACTCAAGCTTAAGGCTTATCCCTCTACTACCTTTAAGATTAAGGGAACAAAGTCATTTTAGGGGGAATGAAGCTGGATAGATTAGGGGAAAATGAGATATGGTCAGTTAACAATGCAGGAGGTATTCCTTTATGTATTTCCCTTAAGATTAAGGGAACAGGCCAGGAATGTGGCTCAGTGGTAGAGGGCTTGTCTAGCATGCATGAAGCCCTGGGTTCAATTCCTCAATACCACAGAAACAGAAAAGGATGCAAATGGTTTTGTGGCTCATGTGGTAGAGCACTAGCCTTGAGCAAAAGCAGACCAGGGACAGTGCCCAGGCCTTGAGTTTAAGCCCGAGGACTGGTGGGGGAAAAAAAAAGATTAAGGGAACAAAAGTCATTTAAGGGAAAATAAAGCTGGATAACTGAAGGAAATTGAGGCCTGGTGAAGGCAATGCAGGAATATGGTATTTAGAAACATATTTTCTTTGCTTCAAAGAGAGACAACAGGATGCATTCCTTCCTCTGGGCATGCATTTCTCATCCTAAGCATTAATACTTGTCTGACAGTGTAAGAATTAAGTTTGCTTCCCCAAACTTAAGCCACCTCCTGCCTCAAAATGCAGACAGTACAGGTCTCCTTATCTCAGGATAAGGATGTTTTATGACAAGATGCATTCTTATTTGTAAACTCAGAAAGTAACACCAGGCATGATTACAGCATTGACAATGAAGCCAGACCCCCTGCCTTTACCCTATAAATACCCCAACAGCCCAAGGAGCTGTGTGTGTGTATATGTGTGTGTGTGTGTGTGTGTTTTCTTCCATGTTTGTGTTTGTGCGTGTGTCTGTGTCTCTATCTCCCTATGAAAGCATCCACACTCTGTTAGAATGTCCCCCTGTCCTTCTGTGTGTTTGGCTGCTTTTTGTCTGTTTGCCTGCTTATTTGCTTAATAAAGCTCTGCCAAGTTTTCTTACCACTGTGACTTGTCCAGAAATTCTTATTCTGCAATCTTAGTCAAGAACTTTAAGTGAAGAGTTCCTGCCATTAAAGGAAAACTTTACTAAGCCTTACCTCCATCTGGTGACAACTTTGGATGGTGTAGATTTGTGTACAAAAATCTGGCACTGCTGGGTGCTGGAGCCTCATGCCTGTAATCCTAGCTACTCAGGAGGCTGAGATCTGAGGACTGCGGTTCAAAGCCAGCCTGGGAAGGAAAGTCCATCAGACTCTTATCTCCAATAAACTACTCAGAAAACCAGAATAGTACTGTGGCTCAAGTGGTGGAGCACTAGTCTTGAGCTAAAGAGCTCAGGGACAGCACCCAGGCCCAGAGTTCAAGCCCCACAAGTGACAAAAACAAACAAAAACCCTGGCACCTTCATTGACAGGGATAAGACACATTGCCTCTAGGCCAAGCCTTTCCTGCTTGTTCCAAGATCACCTGGACTTGGGGCTCCATCACTCTGCTCTAACAGGCAGATTTTGAGGAATCAGTCTGCAGCCTCAGCTGGGTTTTGAAGGAAGAAGGCAATCAACAAGGAACCTTAACGTACCCAAGACCTAGAATAGCAGGTAGCTGATAGCACTACTAGATCTAAAATACCCGAGAGAGAGGCTGGTCAAGAACAAGAGCTGGGATTGTGTCTAACATATTTATAAGATATTTCTTTGTTGCTTTGTATGTCCCTCCCCCATGGTATAACCCTTGTTTCCACTGTATTTGATGTTGGTATAATTTGTGGAGAAGGGAAAAAACAAATTGTTTAAATAGGGATACAGATGGACCCATTGCAACATTGAGATGTACAAGATCTTATGTTGAAAATGAACTATACATCTTTGGTGTGAGGGGGGTAGGGGACGGGGGGGGGAGGGGATGGTGGTGAGGCAGGTATGGGGGGGAGAGGGGAAGGGATGGGAAGGGGAAACAAAGGAGGAGGCAACAATGCTTGATAAGAAATGTAGAGTGCTAGCTTTGAGCTGAAGAGCTGAGGGTCAGTGCTCAGGCCCAGAGTTCAAGCCCCATGACCAAAAAAAAAAAAAAAGAACAAGAGTCACTAAAGAAGGAAAAGAGTTCTGACAACAACAAAACAACCACCTGACTTTACTGGAAGCACTAAGAACTCACAAACCCCTGATGCCTATCCTTAGGACCTAGACAAGTCATCTCAAGTTCTCTTATTTAAACACAAGCACTTAATCTCAGTGGGAGGTGACCTCCCACTAAGTTAGCTATCCTATATCCTCAGCTTTTCCTTTCCTCCTTGAAGTATTTTCTATAATCCTCTTCACTCTCCACGAAAGTCACAAAGCCACTGCTCTAGGCACACAGCCACTCCCACGTGTCTCTTAAACTCTCAGAGTTCTAAGATATAAGGTTTATATACCTTTAATCCAGACTCCATTTTGTGGCCAAAAAACTCTAGTGGGAAGGGTATAGGATTTAAAGGGCAAACTAAACTAGGATCAAATGAATATGCTCACAATGTACATGTTTTTTGTTTCATGTCTGCCAGATTCTTTTTCCATTGTAAAATGATTTCCACCCCGTAGGGTTAGGAACGGTGAGTGAAATAATTAAAGCATTTAAAAATGTGTCTGGAAATACAGAGTCTTAATAAATGCTCCCATACTTTTCTAAATATCTTTGTAATTAATTCCTACCAACACCCAGACCTTACACAGAGTGCTAATACTTCATTAAATGTTGTCTTTTGGTTCTGATGTTTCCTGATCACTGACAGTTGCTCAGACCCAATATTACCTGAACTACTTGAACTCTTCCTTGTAACAACCTGCCCTTGTTTCTAGTAACTAGAAATTTTGTAATCTCTAGCCAGGTGACCTAGAATGCAAATGAAAACCCCAAACCTTACCTGAAGACTTTTCCTAGCCTGCCAATTTGACTCCAAACTAAGGATTTAGAATGAGTTAGAAAACCAATTTTTTAATCAAAGTTAAATATTTGTAAATGAGGAAACAAACTCTACCAAGACTGTTTTTGCTGTTTCTGCAGTATTGAGTTTTATAGGTGTAGCTTTTTAATTTTGAAAGTGTATTGTTATTGGAATGGAAGGCAATAATATTGAATATATATTCTGCCAATAACTAAATTTTCCTTTATTTTTATTTGTGAATGTGTGTGTGTACATTGAATTTTATGGGAATCCTAATGGCGAAGAGATGGAATTTCTTATTTCAGTAAGTCAAGTTTGCCTCAATCCTTATAAATGTCTGCATTTAACATGAACACTAATGTGTCCCTGATTTCCCATTTTATTTCATTCTAGTGATTGATTTTAATTTTTAATTTTTTTTCCAGTACTGGGGCTTGAACTCAAGAGCCTCATGGTCTTGCCTGGCTTTTTGCTGAAGGATGGAGCATTATCACTTGAACCACACCTTCACTTTTGGTCTTTTGGTGGTTAATTGGTGTAAGAGTTTCACAGATTTGTCACTGGGCTGACTTCAAACCAGTCCTCAGATCTTAGCCTCTTGAGTAGCTAGGATTACAGGTGTGAGCAACCAGTGCCTAGCTCCATTATTTATTTTATTTTAGAGGATTTTGTTCAGGACATTAAGGTTTTTTCCACTGTTAAACCAATGACATTGTGATGCCTTAGAATGAATATACCTTTTAATATAAAATGTGGACAATCTCACATTTCCAGTTGAAAAAAGTGATTCATTTTATTGTTAACTGTTTCATTCTCTTTAAAGAATCTATCACATAAATCATGGTTTAAAAATGTCCTTTTACACAATTACAAAAGAGAAGGAACATACTTATGAATCCAGGGAACAAAGTTTGACACCCTTGTGTAAACACCAGGAAAGTTAGGTCTTCCACATCCATGTCCCCAGCTGACAATGCCAGTCAGTACCCACTTCCCATCACTTTGTCTTCGACATGATAAAGGTCCACCTGAATCCCCCTGCATGAAAAGACAATGTCAAGTGTGACCACATTTGCCTTATGATTATGAGTTTATCATTCATGTGTCCAATAGATTGTGTTCGAAAGTCCTAATCTGATATGTTTTTCAGGGTTGACTATTCAGTTCAAGAAGTATCAGGAAATAATGTAACTCTTCAGATATCAGTTAAGTTTTAGAATTCTCCTAATCAAAAAGCTGTATTTGGTTAGTCACCTGTGGCTCATGCCTGTAATCCTTGCTACTCAGGAGGCAGAGATCTGATGATAATGGTTCAAAGCCAGCCCAATCAGATAAATCCAAGAGGCTCCTATCTCCAACTAACCAGCAAAAATGTCAGACATAGAAAAGTGATTCAAATGGTAGAGCACCAGCCTTGAGCAAAAAACCTAAGGGAGATCCTTAAGTTTAAGTACCAGTACAGGGTCATACCACACACACACACACACACACAGACACACACACACATACACAC